AACAGGGAAGGGTGGAGGGGGTGAAGGGAGGGCAGGGGAATAGGGGAAAAATAAGAATCAAGATACATCATGTACAGGTACAAGATCCCAATGATGAATGTCATTGTACAGCATACCTAAAATGTACCAATAAACTTAATGAACAAAAACAAAATAACCAGCATGGCCACAGGATATGGGCTGGATGATGCAGCTCCTTCAGTGCCACCCCAAAATGTCCACTGAATGACCTCATGACTAAGGATCGCAGGATAAAGGGAGAAATCCAGAGGACGGGAGACATTCCAGGAAACTTCTCTCAAGAACATGTCTGCTACCGGCTGATTGATGTAGTCCATCAATAACTTCGTTCTCCTCACCAATTTTGAACAGCATAAAACTGGACCATGTCATTTGTCCACTTATAACTCCTAGGAAGTAAAGATGGATGTTCATGTCATGCCACAGTCTCACCTAAATTGTCACCTCATGATTTTAGTTCATCCTCACAGTGAAACAGACTGAAAACAAAGTCACTGATGCCCAGGAAACCATCAGATCCAACCCAGGATGGAAGGTGGCTCTGCAGGTAAGTTTCAGATGTTCCCAAGCAGTGCTTAGGCAGGGTGCTTGGCCAGGGTTTGCAGGGAAGAACTTGAAGGGGATTGGCTCATCATGCAAGTGTTCACTGCTGCACAAACTTACCTCATCAGTCATCACACTTGCGTCAATCATCTTTATTATGAGAGAGAGCTAAGAAAAGACCGGGAGAGTTGCCCCTCAATGCAAAGCAGCTCACTCTAAGCTGAGCTCATCCTGACTCCACAACACCTGCCTCCCGAAAGCCTAAAGAGGAGCCATACGCTGGTTTTGCCATGTAGGCTGCCTATTCTTTCCACGTATTTCTTTGTTTTACCCAAAACTTGTAGATTAGATCAGATCAGATTAGACCAGATTAGATGGACCCAGAGACAGACAGATGGACAGACAGACAAACTAACCAGTTCCCCCTAGGCCTTAGTGAGAAGTATGTGGACGGCTGGGGAGAGGACAGAGCAAGGGGCCTCACTGCTGCTGTTAAAAATTACAAAAGCTTATCTAAGAGCATTACATTTAAAGCCACTCTCACACTAGCATCACGCCGTCTGCTAATACGGCCTGTACCTCTCCTGCGACCACTTTCCAAACAGAAACCATAGTCTTCTCTGCTAACCACCTTCTTTGCGTCTCAGCCACACCTGCAATCCATTAAGCTCAACTGAAAGTAAGTAAGGCCTTCCATTGTCTTCAGACTCTGCTGATATAACCTTGGTGCTCAATCACAGCTATTTCGCCCTGTAGCTTATGTCCTTCCTATTTTCTTTTATCTTAATGTCAGATTCCAATTTTATAAGCCTATTAGTACAAATGCCCTTTATTTTAAGATGCCTCAAGTCTTGGAAAAGATGATTTTTTGAGTGAATGATGAAGTCCCTCTGAAAAGACCATGGTCATCAGGCCTGTCCTTCAGCCATCACAGTAACTGTGGATTCTTCGGCGAGCTGCTTCAGTTTACTCTTCTAAGTTTTAGGCACCCTTTCTCCCTTCCGGCATCTGATCTCTCTTTGAAGAGGCACGGGTGCCGAAGGTCAGACCTCTGTGCTGTGCTCCTGCCCTGGCCGCAAGACTCTCCCCGTATGTAGTGCCATAACACAGCAGCAGTTATGTCCAGTACTCAGGGACCATTTGCTCCACACCAGGCTTTAAGACTAGTGCTCTGACATCACCTCATCGTGACCCTTTAAAAGCAAGTACTGCTATTACTACACTACCTCAAAGATGAGGAGACTGAGGCCCACAGAGCTAAGTAAATTTTCCAAGGATGTAAAGCCAATGAGTGATGAAGCCAGATTCCATCTAGCCCCTAGAAGCCTGCACTTAGCCACTGCACCACAGAGCCCTAAAAGACCAGCAGTCAAAATGAGCTTCCCCAGCATCCTCTCTTTCCCAGGCTGGTCTTCGGTCACTTTCTTCGTCATGTGGGGAATATAACACTTTGCACACCCAGTGACCTCTGCTACCTGAGCTTCACCCATCTGGCCCAGTACACTTTCTATGGCTTTTTAAGCCTTTATTGTGTGGAAATGTTCTGTCACCAGTTACTTAAAAAGGGAAAGCTAAACGTGGCAGCTTTATAATGGCGTGATCCTTATGCTGAGTAGTCTGGTGCATTGTGTGATGGGCCCTCCCTCCTGCCCTCACCCCCATACATTTGAGGACTGTGTTTGCAGTGAATCTGAGGCCAGACCTGCTGTACTGAACACTCAAAGAAGCCTGACTGCAGAGCAAGAGCAAGAAACAGAGGCAGACCCTGCTAGCCATGCAACTGTGAAGGAACAGCAGATTATAAATCTGGAGCAGTGGGTCCAGAGACACTGGCTGGATTTTCCCAGGCTCCTCCTCATCTTTAAAGGATGAAGGCAGTGCAGTAGGTCCAGCATCCTGGGGCCCGACTGGGTCTCCCACTCTGCCAGCCATAGCCTCTCACACCACCACACACTCCGGACCTCAGGACGTCTTCTGAGCCACCAGTCTGCTGCCTGGTGCACCATGATGTAAGAGAAACCCAGCCAAGTCTGGTGCTCTGGTTTTGCTTTGTTTTTGTTAATCCCAAACCCAGTCCAACCTTATGATCTAGCCTCGCTCTGTAGCTCTGGTGCCTAATACGGGCAGGTGTGAATACACATAGAGTCTTTTGTTTTCTCTCTAACTGAAGAGAACCACATCGAATAATGTTGACTGTTTTGGGAATGTGATGCTAGCCCTACATTCATACTGAACCTGTCATCCCTGGTTGGACTTGTCATCTTTTATGACAACAGGTGCTACAGAGTGGCTCACTCAATCATGCAAACCTCCCCGTGCCTTGGGCTGGGGAGATAAAGTATTCAATCCCCAACCCATTTGCAATTTGAGTTTTCTCTTGGTCCAGGTTTTCCGAGTAAACATACTGTTATGAGACTTGAAAAGCAGAAAAGACCACCAAGAAACTGAGTCTCACAGCAGCGCTGACACCTAAAACAGCAGAGACATTTGGTTCTCCCATAGGCTCCATCTCAAGAGTCCTGGTGTCCAGTGCAGCACTGGCTGGAAGCAAAAACAACAGAAACATCTGTGTGCATTGTACACAGCCGCAAAAAGCTGTTCACTGTGCGATCAGCCTCCACCACAGACTCCACAGTAATGTTCTTGGGGAGGTCGGTTTCATCAAGCCAGACCTTTTGAAGCTCAGTGCATTCTGGAACCGCTGGGTCCTGCACTGGTCTTTTCATCATCTCTGAAGGCATCGTCTCTCCAGAGAAGTTAGACACAGAGAAAGGAGCTGAATGCACACTGGAGAAAATGGAATGCCCTTTACTACCCCAGAATCATCTCAGAGTCCATCTTATTGAAGTGCAGCTCTGTGACAGAAACAAACATAGTGATCACTTTACATCATTGTTTGTTCATTCGAAAATATCTAGTGAGCAGCTCTTCTAGGTGCAAGGCATGCATTCTGAACTCTTCAAAAGCTCACGATCTAGTGAAAGAGGCCTAACAAGAAAACAGAAAGTGTTGGTGGGCAAGAATGATTCATGGTGCTACCCCCAGTCTAGTCTTGGGGTACAAAACCAGTTCTGCCAATGGAGGAAACCCCGAGCCTAAGCAGTGGTAACTGGCCAAAGCAAAGGAGCATAGAGAAATAGTTCTAGGCAGGGGAACAGTGTGTCCAAAGGTCCTGAGGTAAGACACTTGAGAAAATTACTTGCATGGTCTTCAACTCAAACTGTCCCAAGTATGAGGTGTGAGCTGCACTAAATCAAAATCAAAGGCCTAAGCGGGATCCAAATTAGAGACTTTTTTGGCATACTTGGTTTTAACTTGATTGATTTTCATTTGAATGAAGAATGTTCGGGCAGAGTGTATTCTGGTATAATGGAAGAGCAAATGGGAGAGTATGTGTTAGGATGCAGAACATCCAAAAGCAGACTGGGAATATGCACTGCAGGAGCTCGTGAGGAGGTGGGTTTGACAGTCATCAAGTATGCACAGCATGGCCCATGCTGTTGGGAAGAGACAGGTCCAGAGTGTGCACACCTGAGAAGGACCCGAATGCCCCTCGGGCTTCATAGGTCCAGCACACGGCACTGCCCTGGGAGAGTGAGGGACTCAGCAGAATTCCCTTCACAGAATTCCTCCACTTCATGACAAAAGGGCATGCAGGGACACCAAAGACTGTCATTTCCCACTGGGCCACACTCATGCGACCAGATTCTGGCTCACAGAGCTTCCAGAGCCCCTCCTGGCCCTTGACGGCTGAGCATGCATTCTGAGTGGCTGGTCATGGGAGGGGAAGCCCCGTCTGGTGCTCCAAGAAAGGAAAAGCCAGCACAGGGTGCTGAGAGGGAGAATTTATGGTTCATCAGCTCTCCATTTGCTATTGAGATAAATGCCCCCGCTATGGCACATGCAAAGGCCTAGTCTACAGCACTAGCCTGAAAGTGATGTAAAATTAAAAAGTCGTCTTCCAAAGATCTCACTCCAGAAAGCCAAAGCCAAGTCAAATATGCAATTACTTCCAAGATGAATGCCTCTCCTGGCAAGCGTCCCCACTCTCCAGCTGTAGGTTACAGTTCCTTGTCTCAACGAATTAATCGACATTTAAACCCAAACTTTATTGCTTCTTGGATGGAGAAACACCTCCAAAATTTAAAAGGAAGAACTAAAACTCCCTTCACATATAGAATGCAAGCACAACTTTGGGTCTGAGAAGTTCTAAAATCGAAAGAATATTTCTTTTAACCCTTGGCAGTTCCAGGCAGCAGGGGCAGACTCTGCTTTCTAGCTCAGATATCTTTCAGGGAAACCACCTTGGGCTTGAATTCCAGTCTGACACCCACTGATTGTGAGCTCTCAGAAACACTCTGTCTCCTGAGTCTGCTTCCCTCTCTTGAATAGAAATGCTAATATTGCCTTCCCCTTGGAGTAGCTGTGAGGCTTACCTGAAGAAGGCAGGGGTGGTGGGAGGCACAGACGGCAAGAGCTCCAAGAACAGAGCCCACAGTTCAGCGGATTGGTTACTTCTATGGAGATGGCAGACCCGGTTGACAGAGGGGGATGCAGGATGAACTGGAAGGTCATGGTTCTCACTGAACACTGAGTGCCTTTGGCCCACCAGCCTTTGAAGGTTCCCCCTGGTGATATTCAAGGAAAGGAAAATGAAAGGAAAGTTCAAGAGCAAATCCATCAATAGACAGCTGTCATTGCTTAACGCACAGCACATCAATGAATCCATTCACTGTTTTAATGAATCCTAAGCTCACTTTCAAGATCATAAAGACTAACATACAACAGGCCGATGTCCTGTTGTGTGTCACCCAGCTGAGCTCTCCAGCTCTCCAATGGAGAGACAGCCCAACGAGATGTCCAAGAGGACCCCAGAGCTACCGTGCAATTCTCCTTTCCATTGTCTTCCTGCCGTGTCAGTGTAAGCCTGAGTAGCTATCCTGATGTGAATCTCACTGGTCCTCACCAACACCCATCTCTGCATCTCCCATGGTACTGTGAAGGGACGACAAAAGTTTCCAGGGCAAAATCACACTCAGATCTGGAGTGGGTTGTGAGGCTGAGCTCACAGGGTTGCAGTCTGTGAAATCTGGCACAGGATCCTCAGTGTATGTGAGAGTCTCAGAGTCCTTCCTCCTGTGCAGTAACCGCAATCGTTATTAACAGAACAGTGCCTGGTGTGGTGCATGCCATGTGACAGACACTCGATTAATGTTTCCAACTAAGCTGAACTGGAAAGCGGTTCGCACCTGAGCTCTACTGAAATTCACACACCCACGCACACATACACACGTGTGTGCACGCATGTACGTCCAGTGTATCATTTAAAAGGACTGAAGTCCCAATCATGCCACAATGTGTATGAACCTCAAAAGCATCACGCTGAAAGGGCTCATGTACTGTAGGGTTCCAGGCCTGCGAAATGTCCATTACAGGCAGATCTGCAATGCAGATGGATGGCTGCCAAGGGCGAGGGCAGTAGGAACAGAGAGTGAGTGTTCACTGGGCAGGAGTCTCCTGTGGGGGATAAAAACATGTGGGAACTAGATAGCGGTGGGGGGAGCACAACGGCGCTCTAGGTGCCATGAAACCCTGTACTTTGAATGTCTGGCTGTTAGGTGAGTTCCCCTCAGGTGAAGCACCATCTCCTGTCCACTTCCTGAGACCTGCAGTGCGTGCCCGAACCTCCACAGCCTTCTTTCTCACCATTCACCACGCACCTCCTACGCAGCCGCTTCCTGACCCCTACAACACCTTGCACACGAAAAGCAACAGCTCTCCCTCAGCACGAGTCAGGCTTTGTGGGCCTGAAGTTCATACAAATTGGGGCGCTCATTTAAGGCAGTGCAAATTATTATACAAAAGCAAATGTAAAGGGCCAGGGATGTAGCTCAGCGGCACCATGCCTGCCTCAAAGCTCAAGGTCATGAGTTCGATCCTCAATACCAAAAAAAAAATCAAATGTAAAAGCAGATATTTGTTTTTATTGATAGTTTACAACAGTTCCTTTTAACTTCACAATTCGATATTCAAAAGGTTATGAAAATTTTAGGATTGTGGTGAAATTTAAGGACAGCTCTACCCAGTGTATTTTATATATGAGCTGTAAGATTTCAGATGCTTTCTTCTTATGGAGTGACTAAATTTAAATAATCTCACAAGCATCTTGTGCCAGGCAACCTAGGACAAGTTCAGTTCCCAGACACCCTTGGTGCTTGATTCTATTTTAGGACACACAAGGTGTGAAGGAAAATATAATGCCCACCATGAACCAGATTCTGCTCCCCACTGGATATGCCAGCCATGACAGCGCCGCCCTCTGGGGATTATCAGACTACTAAAGAAGATGAATCCTTAAATAATCTCAGTGTTGCACTGCTTTAAAGCAAGTTCTTGCTCAAAACCCATGGCAATATAGGAAGGATCAGGAAGCATTTCTTCCACTCATTTATTTGTTCAGTGATGATGGAAGGTAGGCCTAACACCTGAGGCATACCTGAAGGAGGAGAAGGAGTTTGCTGGGTGAGAAAGGACAGAGAAAGCACAAGGGTTCCTATGTTCCGGGAACTGAGGACAATCCCCTGAAACTGGTGTGGGCTGCTAGAAAAGACTGATGGCAGGTGGTTCCAGTTATCTATTGCTGCATAACAAGTTACTCCAAAATTTAGAAGCTTGAAACAAATATCATTTACTACATCTGATGATTTTATGGCTCAGGCATTTGAGCAGACTCACCTGGAGGTTCTTAGTCAGCAGGTGGGTGGTCTTCTCTGTACACTAAAAACGGCTTCACTCATGTCACTGACATTTTGACATCGTTGGATTTAAAAGCCTAGACACAAATGGAAAGGAAATATCAACAGAGCTGCTGTGCCTATCTTCTTGGGCTAGCTGGAATTCTTACATAATCTGAGTTCTCTGAAAAAAATTCTAAGGACAGGAAATGGAAGCACATTACAGGATGTACCAGAAAGTGACAAAGTATCGCCTCCACTGTGTTATATCAGAAATGAACAGTCACAAAGCCCACCAGGGACAAAGGAAATTCACACAGGTCTTCATCCCCCTTGGGAGCAGTGACAAAGAATTGGTGTGTCTTTTATTTGCCATGGAGAATTTTAGAGAAGAAATTCAGAACCCACTGAGGAGAGCTTTGTTAACTACCCTGAGTTTCTGTTTTATCTTGTTTTCAATAAAAAACAAAAATAGACTTTCCTTAAACAGAGAAGTAAGATTATTACAATTTCTTTAAGGATAACACTGCCAGTGCATGCTAGGAGACGAAAGAAAGCAGAATCTGTCACCCAAAAGTCCAGTGAAGAAGCAGCTAGGAGCATCCAGCTGGGCACCACTTTGATTGCCAGGCCAGCCCAGGCCAGGCCGTGTTAGCCAGGAGGGACAAAGGCCTGGCTGTTGGTAAAGCATGCAGCTGGAGGGACACAGTCCATGAACAAGATTTGGTCATGGCTTGGAATACAAAGAGAAACGAGAAATGAAGAAGGTGTAACGAAGAAGGTGTCACTAAGTTTCTAGCTTGGGCGATTACATGCATGATGTTCCCATTCACAGAGACTGGCGTCCACTGGCAATTTATTATTCCAAAGGCTCACTGCACTCAGTGTTTATTGCCCCTATCATGACCCTCTGCTCTTACAAACGCCTCTCTCCCATGCAGCCCTGCCACCTCTGTCCACTTTCCGGTCCCCTTCCTGACACAGATCCACGACTCATGGCAAGCTCCTCCTCTGCTACAGCAATTCAGCACAGACTTAGCCACGTACAGCCACCCCAAACTGTAGCTTTTCCTCTCTGTTCCCAGAGAATTCGAGGCCAGCTGAATAAGAATAAGCCAGAGGAGGGTATTAAAAATGCCTCTTTCTGGTGGCCAATCCTGTAGGCTCTGACTCAGTGTGACTGAGGGGCTGCCAGGCTTGGGAACTACTGTGGGCACTGGGATAAGGGATAGAAATTGTGAACGGTGCTAATGGAACCTGAGCCTATCCCTGACTGAGGGATGCTAAGCTTCTCTGGTAACATAAAGCATCTGAAAGCCAAGGGCACGGGGTTTGATGGGAAACAGGGTGCTGATCTGCTGCTTCCTTTCTAGTCTTACTAACTGTGATCTTTTATCAGAGGCACATATGTTTTCAATACCTTCACATGTGGCTGCAGTTAGACCAGGAAACAAATTCCCTGCTAGTTGAAAGCTTTGGCCTCTCTTTTGCACCCACTGAGCGTCAGCTTCTACCCTCTGCTGGGGAGACCCCAGGGAAACAATTAATCAGCCCTCCTGCTTGCAACACTTTGGGACTTGGGTCGTAAGAAGGGCATTGATTCCCAACAGATGGCAAACCAACAGCCTGAAATCCTGTCCCTCCCAGCCATGCCTGCCTCCAAGGACACAGCTTGTGACTCTGAGAGGAAACTCTTCCCCCACCTATCCACAGGGCTTCTTTCTGGTCCTGCTGTGCAAACAACATCATAGTTCAAGGTCCATTCCAGCAAGTATGATAGGGATTTCATAGAAGTATCCACGGCCTGGGATTAGGCACAGATTCAGCTTCCCAGTGGCCAGGCCCCACCAGCTGCCATGATGATTACAGACAACTGGCTCAGAGACGCCTAGTGGATTAGTAAAGCACGCTTCTGGGTGTGTCTGAGTATGTCATGGAGGCATGGCATTGGGGGCTGAGTCTGGTGCCTGGCTCTTGCCCCTTTAACACTCTTCCTCTGTGATCGGCTTCTCAGCCACCATGCATTGAGCAGCTTTGCCCTTCTGCCATGATGTTCTGTTCAGAGCCAGCTGACCATGAACTGACACTTCTGAAACCAAAATTAAACCTCTCCTGCCTCAAACTGTGGGTGTCAGGTATTTTGTTCAAGCAATGGGTCCACCAGTTATATAACTCTACAATTTGGGAGTGTTACTTTGTCTCTCTGAGCCTCCATTTTCTCTTCTTTAAATGGAAATAACAATAATCCTCTCAATTCTCTAGCACAGATTACCTAAGCCAGCACCAGCTAAGGTGCTCATAGGTGCTAGAGCCTCAGAGGCTGTGTAAAGATAATGAATATTCGTTTTTAGCAAAGAAAAAAGGATTCTCTGGTTAGGCCATCAATAGCTGGCTGAATAAACAAATTGTGATGTATCTCCATAGAAAGGAATGATGTCCAACACATTTCAGCATGAACGAACCTTGAGAATACACTGAGTGAAAGAAGCTAAACACAAAAGTCACACAGTGTATTATTTCATCTACACAAAATTCTCAGAATGGAGATAAGGGGTTGGAGGGAAAGAGAAATGGGCACCAACTGCATGAAAGGTACTGGTCTCCTTTGGGTGAGGAAAATGTTTCAGAACTAGATAATGGTTGCACAACATCAAGAATGATCTAAATACCACGGAATGGCTATCCTTAAAATGACTAATTTTATATCTTGTGAATTTCACTTCCACTTTAAAAAATGCAGTGGGTACAGTAGGTAACTGAAAATACATACGTAAGGAAAAGGCTGTGAATGCAGAACAGGGAGAGAAAGAGTTGGGGAAGGTGGGCCAGGGAGTAAGAGATGTAGGGAATACAAAGGGGTCACCCAACAAGGGTGCAATCGGACTTCCAGAAAGAAGAAATATAAACAATACAAATCCTAAAGAAATGTTGATTAAAAACCCATATTTTTTTTCATCCTAACCACAGCTGCCTTTATGTGTCACATTATAGGGAGTATTTGCTGTTTGAGTCCTTGCGTTTTTTACATATTATCTGCACAATTCACATTATTACCTGGTTCTTTTACACTTGATCTTAGCCAAAAAGGCCAAGAAGCGATGCCTGGTTCTTTTAATTATCATTTTGCTAGCTAACATTCTATTACATAGCTGTGTTCACAAACAAAAGCGTTTGGCAAAATTTCGCTTTGGTTTGCAAGCTCTGCATCAGGTGACAAACACAACCACAGCCATCTTCCCCCAAATGGTAAAACCAATTAAGTTCATAAACAGAGATGCCACTGTATTTAGACCAAAGGTCAGCAAATTACAATTTCTAAACCAAATCTGGCCCATTGCCTGTTTTTATATGGCTTGAAAGTTAAAAATAGTTTTAACATTTTTAGTGGTTAGGAAAAAAATAAAAAGATATTTTCTTTTTTCTTTTTTTTTTTTTGGTGCCAGGGATCAAACTCAGGTCCTTGCGCTTGCTCAGCAGGCGGCAAAACCACTGAGCTAAATCCCAGGCCCAAAAAGATATTTCCATAACATATAAAAATTATGATATTTAAGTTTCCATACGATAAGTTTCTTTTTTTTTTTTTTGGTACTGGGGATTGAATTTGGGGCCTTGCACTTGTGAGGCAGGTGCCAGAACCACTGAGCTAAATCCCCAGCCCTCCATACAGTAAGTTTTATTCTAACTTAATTTGGCAACATAGTGAACAATACACCAAAAATATAGCACTTTTTGGCATGCTGAGCAATTTGAGCTAGAGGAAATTAAAAGATTTTAAAAGCAAGCTCAGAATTAATGTCCTTTAACCTTGCCTTATTTCTCCTCTACACCCCATAAGCTCAGAGAGGCTTTCGGCAAAGTTCCCTTATCTATCTAAGTCTGGACCCACCCACCCCCAAAATTTCCTCTGATCCCCTCCTTGATTTTCATTAATTCAAATATTGCAGGAAAAAAATACTGAATTCTGTCAGCACACCTGGACAAACTTTTGTCACACACCACTGTACTCTATTTCTGTTCCCCAGAGAACCATTTACTTCCTATTGTGTGTTCTGCAGGCCAAGTTGACTCTGCTCCAGGTTGTTGTATGTTCTCCAAGCCCACTAAGTTGCTTGCTGTTCTCTGGTTTCCCTTTGGATAAAGGGGCATAGAAGTTTCTAGATCTTGATGGGCTGGTGGGTACTTACACTCCTGTGAATTTTCCTGTATTGTGGGGTTTTTTTCCCTTCTCTATGCTAATAAATTTGTATGCTTTTTCTCCCATTTAAGCTGTGTATTTTCAGTTCTTTCCAATGAAACTCAGAGGAAAGTTCCTTTACTTTTGCTCTTCCAATAGCCAAGGCCATTCATTTACATACTACCTAAGGCATCTTGCATGATATGAAGCTAAATATCATACAGATACTGTACACTCTCAAAGCCTGAAATATTTATCATCTACTCCTTTACAGAAAGGTTGGGCAGCCTCTGCTCTATACAGTTCCAATTTTTCACGATGGAAAAAAATGCTCTGGAGACACCTTCATGAATAATTTTCTCCTTCTTCAGCACTGTTTGCTTGGGATGAACTCCCAGGCATGGGACTGAGTCAGACATTTTGTGTGCTTGGATGGCTCTCTCTGTACCTGCTGCCAGACCCCTTTCCACTAGGCCTACACTAATTTCCATGGCCCCAGGGGTGCGAGGATGCCAACTCCCCGACACTGTCCTCTGTGCCTCAGCCTGGGAGTGGTCTGAGGCCTAAGCACTCTCGCGCCTGCTGCTGCCGGGTGAGGGACTATGGTCTCATCACAACCAGGCCAGGAGGCAGACAGGTTCCTCAGATGCTCGCTCTGGGAAACAATGTGCCCACAGTGTAAAATGTGTCATGTTCATTTCCCATGGCAAACAAGTGCTCTCTGGCTTAGTGTTCTCTCTAACAAAGCCAACTCATGAGCAGACTCATACTCTCAGTTTCTAAGTATATAAGTTAATAAAGTCTCTCCATTCGAGAGGTGAGCATAATTTAGAAAAAGTCAAATATACAACAACCTTTCACCTTTTCCTCCATTGCTCCCCTGCTATAGATTGACCTGTGTCCCTCCCCTCATGGAAAGAAGCC